ATGAAATCTTCAAAATTGTCTAGGCGCTATACAAGCATCAAGAGGAATGCCAGTCAACTGTACCCTTACAGGGAGCCACTACAGTTCAGGTGAGCATTTCTTTGGCTTTTTGCATAGTGGGTTTCATGGAGTCTTTGCTGTTGTGTATCACCTGTGCCTTAGGAACAGACCAGAGAGAGGAGAGACAGACAGACTGAGACAGAGATACCAAGACAAACGCAAAAACAGACATAGATACAGCTAAAGACAGAGACAAAGAAATAGAGAGATAGAGGCAAAGAGAGAGAGAGGTAGAAAAAATAAGAGAGAAACAGAGAGAGAAAAAAACATAAAGACTAATATGGAAATATTGACAGAGAGAGACAATGACTCAGAGATAAAAAGACAGAGACAGAAAAAACTGGAGAGAGTACTCTAGAAGCCCCAAACCTGTGTTCCAATCCCAGTATCATTGCCGAGTGACCCTATATAGGTTATTTTTTGACTTCCTAAAAAGAGAAAGAGAATTGAAATAGTAATGATAGAGATAATCTGAGAATTAATATGATACCCACAAAATGCTCCAAATGAATAGGTATTAAAATTATTTAATAAAATGCTACACACTAAAACCTCACCAATAGAAATGAAATTAGAAATACTTTGCAACCACAAAATGTGATGTACACTATTATCATTTCTATTATTACTATTAGATTAATTAGAAGAAAATCAGAATAATTTTCAAGAGATGCCATTTATTACTTTCAAGCACAAACTGTAATTAAATTACTAACAAAGGGCTCTAAAGTGGAGATCCCCCTGAGCTGATGTTAAGGAACAGGAGATGCATTTATAATGAGTGTATTAATTATATGCAAACAAATGCTTGAAATTGTTCTCTGAAATCAATTAAGCGTATTTTTCCCTGAAATCTCATTTCCAGTATACATTTCCTTAGCCAAACCTTTCTTCATAGAAAAAGTCAAAGGCCAGTTGTCACAATTAACTTGAATTCTCAATAAGAGATTGCATAAATGAGATTTTGCTATAGCAAAATCTTTCTTTACTTATTTTGCTCATGTTATCACAAGAAGTAGTTCTATCACTACAGATAAATTCTTTTTTTAGTGAAGTTGTTCTAGGAGGACTCATTTTGCATTTACACCAAAGACACTTTAGAAAGCATAAACCTCTCCCTTTTCCTTTCTCAGTATGCTCAGATTTATTTCACCGGGAGAAACAAGTCCACTCAAGTGAACACTTGTAGCAGTAGTGGGTAGTAGTGGAACCTATTATCCATAGTGATAAAATACTGGGATCAGACTGAGTTAATAGTTGCTTTGCTGGAAAGAGTAATAATCCTTTTTTTTTTTCCTTTCCTCAATGTCTCCTTAAACTCAGCAACTTGGATGACAGTGATAATGATGATGAAAGAGGGGACAGCAATGATCCAGAACAAATCTTTCAGAACATACAGTTTCAGAAAGACCTCATGGCCACAATTCGCTGCAGACCATGGCCTATGAAGCAGAAGCTAAAAGCTCTCAGGTAAAAACAGCTCATCACTGAGAATTTTCAAATTCTTTCTGATTTTTGACCAAAGGAAAAAGGTCATGTAGCAAAACGACCAATTATAGAAAGGATGGCTATCCATCCTCTGTATATATGAGGACTGATGGCCCATTTTAGACTTACGAGATAATGAACTAGAAGGACATAAACTTCCTTTTCATAGTTATACTAGAAGCCATGTATTGAGACCATTATGTGATGGCTACAGTGGTGCAAAATCAAACAAAGGCCAACTTTAGCATTTCAAGTTTTTATTTAATGCTACAAAATCCAAATTATACTCTCACCTAGCATATTTGTAATAATCTCAGACTTTATTTTTTTTTAACTTTATGCACTCATTACAAACCCCAGGGAGGCAGTATGATAGAGCTGATAAAAGCATTGAACTGGACATCAGAGGACCTGCATTTGAATCCCGGTTCTGATACTTACTACCTATATGACTCTTGGTAAGTCAGCCTCTCTGGGTCAAAGCAGTCTCATCTTTAAATTAAGAGAGTTGCAGTAGGTGACCTTTAAGATGTCTTCCAGCTCTTAATCTAAAATCCCATAATTCTTAGGGAAATCAGTCAGATTAAACTGAGTCCTAAATGTCCAGTTTTTTAGTGAAATAAGCTCTCGTATGTTTGAAATGATGTTCTTTCTGATAACTTTCATAGTTAAAAGGAGATTAAGCTCTATTAACTAATTAACTAATTAAGGGGATGCTAGACAATTAGCTAATTAACTAGTTACTGGGTGATTATTCCCTGGGTGACAGCTTACTCTGCATCTATGAAGAAAAGGTAGATCTCAATATCTCTACGCTGGAATCAATCTCTTATATATCAAAGGTGCTTTAAAAAACAGACTTGTTAAAGTGATCCCCATGCCTTCAACTCAGCAGAATAAGGCACTTAAAGTTTGGGCAGAGCATTTAGGCAAGACAGGATGGAGTAATGGGTAAGGCATTTGACTAGAGATCAGGAGACCTGAATTCTAATCCTAGCTCTGCCACTAATTTTCTGCTTGGCCCACCTTGATATGACTAATTATTAGGAATTTCTTTCTCTTTTTATTGAGCTAAACACCACATCTCACACCATTTACCTACTGCCTCTAGTTCTTCCCTCTGTGACCAACCAGAAAAAATCACGTCTCTCTTCCACATAGCAGCCCTTCAAGTACTGGAAGATTGTCTTCTCTTTCATAACCAGTTCCTATAATCAATATTGTTAAGGCGTGGTTTTGAATTCCCTCATCCTCATGGTCTTCGTCTGGATGATTTTAGTTTGTCAATATCCTTGCTAAATATAGCACCCAAAAAGTGGACGTACAACTCCAAATGTGGTCTGATTAGGGTAAAGTACAGGGGTGATATCATTTTGATAATTTTGGACACCGTGCTTCTGATAATTCAGCAGTCCCATTTCTTTTAGCTGCCACGTTGCATTGACTCGTACCAATCTTACAGTCCACAAAACCTTCTATGTCCCTTTAACAACTAATAATGTTGAGCCATGTCTTCTCTAACCTGTGCTTGTGTATTTTTTTTAACCAAGGTATAGGACTTTACATTTGTCCCTGAAATTTTTCCTTTAATTAGATTTTGACCAGCACAGTGGCTAAATTTTTCAATTCTTAATCCAACTTGTTAGCTATCTTTCCAAGCATCATATCACACATATATATATTAAATATTCCATATATGCTTTTGTCCATGTTATTGATTAAAAATATTTATCAGACTAAGGCCTTAGAAAGAAACTCGTGGCCATCTTCTAGTTATCTCCTTCCAAGATGACAGTGATCCATTAACCATCACTTATTGGGTCCTGGTCATTCAACCAGTTCCAAATCCACTTAAAATTACTACCATCCAGGCCATATGTCTTCATCTTCTCCACAAGGATACTATGAGAGACTTTTGTCAAATGCCTTACTGAAATCCAACTATATATAATTATGACATGACCCTGATCTACCATTCAAGTTACTTTGTCAGAAGAGGAAATTCATTTAGTTTGGCATCACTTGATCTTATCCTGGTTCATATGATCATAGTTTTCCTTCCTAAGCACTAATAAAGCATCATTTTAATAATTCATCCTAGAACTTTTCCAGAGGCTAAAGTCAAACTCACCACCCTATAGTGAACAAAATACCCTTCTGATAATTGGTTCAGTATTTGACCTACCTGTTGCTTATAATTCCCAATAAAGGAAAACTTGACCACCTATAGCCCTGTAGGCCTCTCCCCATCTCCATGTTGTTATTTTCATTTGTTTGTTTCGTTTTGTTTTTTTCCAAGAGCAGCATTAGTAGTTCACTAATCACGATAGCTAGTTCTTTCAGTATTTGAGACATAAATTATCCGGTATTGGAGGCTTGAACTTATTAAGAGCTGCTAAATGTTTTCTTACCACCTCCTCATTTTGTTGGGTTTCACTTCCTTAGTAACCCTTTTTGGTCCTGTATGCCCCAATCTGAAGATAATTCTCTAGAAGCAAAAAAGGAGTTAAGAGCTTTCTTCTCTCCATATCATTGTCCCATCTGTACCAAGTGGCAGGCCTCTTCATTATTTGATTTCCTCTTGTGCCAAGTTTAACTAAAATAGCCCTTTTTGTTTCCTCCGTGTGGAATGTAAGACAGCTCATTTGAAGCTTCTAAATGTTAATTGTTAATTAATAATTAACAATTACTCCAGCATTCTTATAGGACCTTGCCACTCATTGTTAGTCACCTTGAGCTAAGTGCCTTTGCTACTATCTTCTTTATAATATTTTTTTCATTTAAATTGTCTAGTGAGTTCTCTACATATCCATATCAGTCCCTTAGCCAACCTCACTTTTTCCTTCTCATGAGAATAAAGTATTCAATCAAAATTCGATCAAAATTTTATTTTGTTTTATTTTATTTTTAACACATCCCTTCCATTTTTATTTTTATTTTATCCCTTCCAATTTATTTTATTTTATTTTTATTTTAACACATCCCTTCCATCCTGAGCCAATTTCCCTTGGAAAATCTTAGGTTCTGGGCTCCAAACTATCATTTCGATGAACTATGAAATCTGTTCTTCCAAAATCTCAGGTGCATATCAGAGTATACCCAGTTTTCCCCTCCTTACTTTGACTTTATATAAATTTTGTTTTTATTTATATGCATACACATGAGTTCTCCCAAAACAGCAGAAAATGTTTCATTTTTGTCTTTGTATACCCAGTGCCTAGCACAGTGCCCAACATATAGTAGATGCTTAATAAATGTTTGTTGATTGATTTACCTTTTATGAACTCTAAAACTGTCACATCTCTTGCCAAAGTTTAAGTCATTTCTACTTCATTAAATAGTTTCTTCTTATTGGTCAAAATCAGGGTCATCTAAAATGGCAGTCCCCGAGGCAGCTAGGTGGCAGAGTGGATAGAGCACTGGCTCTGGAGTCAAGAGGACCTGAGTTCAAATCTGGCCTCACACACTTGACACTTACTAACTATGTAACCCCCAGGCAAGTCACTTTACCCCATTGCCTAGCAAAATAACATAAAATAAAATAAAATGGCAGTCTCCCTCACTGCTTCCTGAACCTTTTGGAAAATGAAATTATCATCAAAGCAAGTTAAAATTTCAATTGCTCTACTTTAACAAGGGGTGCTCATGCATTTTAAGTGCCCTACATCTGCTGATATTCCTCTGAGACTGGAGCAGAGCAGAAAAGAATGGAGATTATTTGAAGTGTGGAATTAGGGTAATATTCTGTCTTCAAGTCTAAGGTAATTTCTACTATGGTGACCCATAGGCACATTATATCATTGTACCAATTATTACAAATATATGTGTGCCATATATGAACAACTACCCTGATGTTACAATCCAACCATTCTCATGCTCTCCCCACCCATTAACAACAGCCTTAAGGCCCCTACTATCTTTCAGTGCCCCTTACTACTGTGTTCCTTCCCTTTATATTTATATGTTCTCTCTTGGTCCTATAAATCCTGTCTCCATCAGTTTGTGGAGGTGCTAATGCAGCATATAAATGGCCAAGCCTTCAGGAGGCTATTTATGGTGCTACTCTGAAAAGTCCACTGAGCTATGTCTCCTTAGAAATCAAGTGACTATGACCCCATATAAGCTAAAGTGAGAGCTCTGAGTCTGAAGCTAATCTTTAGCTTTTAGTATATCTGCAGTTCATTATGCTGCCTGTAGGCAGGGTAGCTACTAGCCTGTAACGTATTAATACTGGGCTATGAGTAGAGTGACATTATTACATGTTGATTGAAATTTGTACTTTGGGAACTTGGGCAAAATTAGTAGTAAAGATGTGTTCTCCCCACTAAACTCCCCTCTTTATGAAGGCGGTGAGGAAGTAGTACAAAAACACTGGACATGGAAATAAAGGACCTGGGTTTGAATCCTAGCTCAGTTATTGGAATATAAATATGACCTTGGATAAGTCACTCAATCTCTCCAGAATCTAAGTTTCCTCATCCATAAAATGAAAGCGGTAGATTGCTATCTAAAGTCTACTCCAGCACTGAATTCTATGATCTATATTGATGGTCATGGTACTGATTTCCAGTGAGATAGAGGAAAGAAAAGAATATGGCAACAGATACCTCAGGCTTGGTGTCCAAGAGACATCTTAAATTCAACATGTCTGAAACAGAACTCATTATCTTCCCCCCTAAATCCTCCTTAACTCCTACCTTCCCTCTTACCATAGAGGACAACATCATTCTTCTAGTCCCACAGGCTCACAACCTAAGAGTCATCCTGGACTCTTCACTATCTCTCACACCTCCCCCCATCCAATCTATTGCCAAAGCCCTTGGTTTTACCTTGGGAACATCTCTTGAATATTCTCCCTTTTCTCCTCTGCCACTGCCAAAACTTTGGTGCAGGCCCTCATCCCTTCACACTTGGACTTTGGCAATAGTCTGCAGGTAGATTGGCCTGCCTCAGGTCTCTCACCACTCAAATCCATCCTCCATTCAGTCACCAATATTGTTTTCCTAAAGTGAAGATCAGAGCATGTCATTCCCTAACTCAACAGACTGCAGTGGCTTCTTATCACCTTGGGATCAAATACAAAATCCTCTGTTTGGTGTTCAAAGCCCTTCACAATTTAGTCCCTTCCTACCTTACTAGTCTTCTTACACTTTACTCTCCACCATGTACTCTTCAAAACTAGCATTTATATAGCATCATAAGGTTTGCAAAACACTTCGATCCAGTGACTCTGCATCCTTGTTTCCAATTAAGAAGACACTCCATCTCTCAGCTCTGGGCATTGCCTTTGGCTGTCCTCCATTCCTGGAAAATCCTGTTTTCCACCTACTGACTTCCCTGGCTTCCTTTAAGTCCCAACAAAAATTCCATCTGCTACAGGAAGCCTTTCCCAATTCCTCTTAATTCCAGCACCTTTCCTTTGTTAATTATTTTTATTTATGCTATATATAGTGTGTTTGCACATATTTGTTGGTTTATTGTCTTTCCCATTAGACTGTGAGTTCCTTGAGGGCAGGGGCAATCTTTTGGCTCTTTTTGTATCCCCAGTACTTAACACAATACCCAGTATACAGTGGGTGCTTAGCAAATGCTCATTGACTACACCAGTTTCTGTGATGCTGGTTCTGGTACTGCTGCTAAAACCATGGTTACCCTAAGCCTTAGTAGAAGTCAAGAGTTTGAAATCTCTCAGCATGGGGAAGGATACTCGTGTTCCTCCTTTGTTGTTGGGGTGTAAAATCTTAAGAGATGGCCATCCTGCAGCAGACGCAAGGATCCACAGTCCTAGTTTAGGGCAGATATATTTTGTTTGTTTGTTGCTGGTGTCATTTTGTCAACTTTCATTATTGTTTTAGATCCTGTTTTTAACTGTAATTAAATGCACACACATATACACTAAAGGCTTGTTCTAATATTATTGGGCTATTAGATCGACATATTAAACTAAATTGGCAGTCAATTTATTCAAATAAAGATCTGTCTGATTATGTTCACTGTTAGAGAATCTCAGATTCCCAGTCTAGGAAGTAAATTCAGAGACCTTCTAGTCCGACCCCTACCTGAGCAGGAATCCTCAGCAAGTGGGCTTCAATATCCTCTTGAAGACTTCCAAAGTGGGAGAAGCCACCATCTCCAGAGGCAGCCCATTCCACTTTGAGGTTTTTCTCATGAACTAAAGATACTTTCTGCCTCTGCACATTCAACTCGTGGTTATTTTTCAACCCTCCAGGGTCAAGAAGAACAAGCCAAATGAAAGAGGAAGTCAGAAAGATCAGAATTCAAATCCTGCCTCAGACACTGACTACCCGTATGACTCTGGCTACATTACTAACTTCAGTTTCCTCATCTGTAAAATGGGTGTAATAATAGCACCTATCTCACAGGATTCTTGTGAGGATCACAGGAGATAACCTGTATCAGACACTTTGCAAATTTTAAAGCTTTGTATTAATACATTAGTGAAATGACATGGTAGGACTCAACCTTAATTAAGGTACATTCCAACTTTAAATCTACAGTCCTGTGATCCTAAAGACAATAATAACAGTAGTAATAATAATAATAACTAGCATTTAAATATCACTTTAAGGTTTATAAAATGCTTCACAAATACTATATCATTTGATCCTCACAACAACCTTGGGAGGTAGACTTTATTATTGCCCTCATTTTATAAATGAGGCAACTAAGCAAGGCAGAGGTTAAACGACTTGCCCAGGGTAATGCAGCTGGTAAGTGTTTGAAGCTAGATATGAACTCAGATCTTCCTGATTCCAAGTCCAACCTTTTATGTATTTTGACACCAACCTAGCCTGAAAAGAACTATCATATTGCCTCAAAGACTCTGGGTTTGAATCCTTGCTCAGCTTTTTTTTTTACATGTCTATTTGATCTTGAGCAAGCTGACAAACATCCCTGGCTCTCAGTTTCTTCATTTGTAAAACTGTAACTAAATTTTCTTCTGGTTCTAAATTCTATGATCCATTATCCATAATGATAGGCATGGGTCAGAGCTCCTGTGAAGTGGGAAGAAGAAAGCATCGCAAAGAGAAAGGACCTTCTCCAAGGTATACACCCAAAGTTCCTTCAATCAATCTTTATATGATGTGACCTCCAGGTCTTCACTCCTCCTGGTCACCCTTTTCTGGATACCTGTCAGTTATTCAGTCATTTTCAGTAGTGTCCAATTCTTTGTGACCCCATTTTGGGTTTTCTTGGCAAAGATACTGGAGTGGTTTGCCATTTCCTTCTCTAGCTCATTTTACAAATGAAGAAACTGAGGCAACAAGGTTAAGTGACTTGCACAAGGCCACACAGTTAATAAGTATCTGAGGCCAGATTTGAACTCATGAAGATAAGTCTTCCTGCCTCCAGGACCAGAATTCTAACCACTATCCCACCTAGCTGCCCCTGATAGTGCTTTTCTATTGTAATACTAGAACTGAACACAATACTCCCAATGTGTTTAGTCTGACCAGATCTGAGTACACCAGGGCTTTCACTTCACCAACCTAGGCTTCTCAATCCAGCCTTAGATTGTCATTAGCTTTACCAGCCACCACATCAAACAGTTGATTCATTCTGAGCTTTCAGTTCTTCCATACTAACTGCTAGGTTGTTTTAATTAACTGCCCTGGGGTTATGCAAATAGAACTTCAATTCTCATACCTACTAGTGGTAGGTATGTAAAAAGATCTGGACTTGGAATTAAGAAGATCTTAGTTCAAAGTCTACCCAAACACCAGCTTTGGGACCTTGAGCAAATTACTTAGTTTCTGCCTACATGAACTTCCTTGGCTATCAAATGAAAATAATAATGGCATGTACCTCCCAGGGTTGTTTTGTGAATAAAATGAGATATTTATAAAGCGCTTTGCAAACATTAGAGCACTATAAAAATGGTAACTATAATCATCACCAATGACCATTATTTTCCTGGGTGTGGCTCTCTAGTAGTGGTTTTGGCTTTTCTGCTCAGATGAGGTCTTTGTGACATAAAAGAAGCAATTTGTTGCAGTGGAAAATGCCCTAGACTTGGAGATGAATCCTGGTTCTAATACTTACTATCCATGTGACCTTCAGCAAGTCATTGGCTTCTCTGGATTCCATCTGCCAAAGAAGGGGTTGGAATAGATAACCTCAAAGGTCCCCTCCCATTGTAATCTATTATCTCAAGATGTATCCCCAGTACAGCCATATGGCTGGCTGGCTCTGAGGGAGACAACTGAATTCCACTCACAGAATTTCCAAAGCTAATGAGCCAAACTTCCTCCTCTATACCCTAAATTAGAAGGAGAGTGTTAATACGTGAGAAAACTTCATTTAATACCAGTACTGGGAAAAATATGAGATGCATTATATGCTTAGAGTTGGGGGGGAGGCAGGGGCAAGCTAAAGAGCTTACGGAAAAATTGAATTTCCTGATCACCACAAAATGGTTCAAGGAAACATTTACATAATTCCATCATCCCACAGCAACATTTCATAGGTTCTGGGACAACTGTTTACTGCTTTACTTATTCAAATGTGTTTGGCCCAGAGTTCCGAATGTAATAAAATGGAGTTGTCTGGACATGATGACCTTTCCTTCTTTTGCAGACGAGCTAAAGAGATCGTGTTGAAGTTTGAAGGGAGGCTGACTAGGACAAGAGGCTATCAAGCAGCAGGTGCTGATGTAGGTACATGGTCTTCCTGCCTGCCAGGGCATTGTATTGGCTGCTGGTCCTACAGCACTGGATCCAGTGGGTCTCTGGGTCTCAATCACTTCCAACCAAACCCAGTTTGGACAACTAATCTCATCATTTTTAACTTCTTATCCACCCCCGTTGGAAGCATTGTACCAGTCCCAAGTCCCCTAATACTTTGTACCCTCACTTTTGTGACTGAAGCTATTTTCACATTTATCTCTACTTATTTGTTGCATATATCAGAGACAACTGTGATATGGTAGATATAAAGATGGCCCCAGTGTCAGAAGGACCAAGATTCAAGTCCTGCCTCAGACATACAGTGACCGTGACCCTGGGCAAATCATTTAGCGTCTACTGCTTCAGTTTCCTCATGGGGATAATAATAGTACTTCCCTCCCAGGGTTGTAGTGAGAATTAAATGAGATAATATTTATATAGTGGGCAGCTAGGTGGCATAATAGATAGAGTGCTAGACCTAAAGTAAGGAAGACTCATCTTCCTGCATTCAAATCTGGCCTCAGACACTTACTAGCTGTGTGATCCTGGGCAACTCACTTAACCCTGTTTGCCTCAGTTTCCTCATCTCTAAAACGAGCTGCAGAAGAAAATGGCAAATCATTATAGTATCTTTGCCAAGAAAATCCCAAATGGGGTCACTCCAGTGTCTCTGCTAGGAAAACCCCAAACAGAGTCATGAAGGGTTGGATATGACTGAAAAATGACTGAACAACAAAACACAGTGTCTGGTACATAGCAGGTGTTTGATAAGTGCTTATACCCTTCTTTTCTTCCCCAGGCAATTCACTAGGACCATGAATGGATGGATGGATGGATGGATGGATGGATGGATGGATGGATGGATGGATGGATGGATGGATG